TAACGTAAATTGGGGGTTAATATCACGGAGAGCGTGGCGTCCCCCTGCGCGTTTTTTTTGAGGACGGGGCCAGACGGGGCTGGGCCCCGCCTAGCCCCCGGGGCTAGACGGGGCTATCGCGTCCCTAGCCCCGTCGTAGCCCCGTCATAGCCCCGCCGAAACGGGGGGCCAGACGGGGCTGGGCCCCGCCTAGCCCCCGGGGCTAGACGGGGCTATCGCGTCCCTAGCCCCGTCGTAGCCCCGTCATAGCCCCGCCGAAACGGGGCCCAGCCCCGTCTGGCCCCGGGGGCTAGGCGGGGCTAGACGGGGCTGGTGCTAGCAGGGATGTATTAACAGAGGACATTATACGAAATTACAAATATTAAATAAATTCTGCCAATATTCCCATGTTACAATTAAAAAATCAATTTGGTAAACACGGGTTTTCGGCAACTCGTCATTAGGCCAAAAGAGTTGCATAGAAGTTGTAGGGTACCCCTTACAATTGGGCAATCACAGAAAAATGAATAATAATAATAATAATAACAACAATAATAATAGAATTTAATTCCAGTTCAAAGGCATTGGGAGGGAAAGATTAAACACAGATCCCGCCAGCTGCGAAAAACTCCTGAAATATAAATTAAAAGTACAGTGTTCTTTTATAGTCTGGGGGGTCCAGGAGAAAAAAATTGCTGCCCATGAAATGACGACAGTCAAGAAAGGGAGGGATATCACTGCATCGGATATTATCAGTCGACATTTATTTCGTGAAGTTGGAACTGGACCAAACAGAAGCACTGAAGAACAGCCGTCGCTGTTGGCTAACAATATTGTCTCTGGTGAGACCGGCCATGGAGATAACTGACAACAAACGCCATAATTACGGTATATTCGACAGGCCAATTTAGCACTCGAAATTTGTTGGAGTTTTTTCTGAATGCAAAAAATGAATAATAGTTATCTTAAACAAAATAATTATTTTGCAGTGTTTGCATATCCCTGGGAAATTTATTCCAAATAGAAATTGTGTTCACAGAAAAGAACCGATGATACTTAACGGTCCCTGCCAGCACCAGCCGCGGCTGGCCACGCCTTGCCGCCGCGGCGAGACGTGGCTACGACTCGGCCAAACGTGGTCATTTGACGTGGCTAAGGTGTGGCCTTCGACACCACAGCCAGGTCTGGCCACACCATCCGAAAAAAAATGTGTGGCGGCGCCCCCATTCTCCATTCGCCCCCCACCCTTTTATGGCCTCCGTTTTTACTCGCGAGTGCACTCATTCTAGACTGGCGGCTGTCGCTGTAAGATTACATGTGTCATTGGATCCTCGTAGCCTCGGCTAAAGCAAATCAATTGATTGACCATGAATGGTCAACACCCCGCATAAGTGCACAACCAGACAACCGATAGGATCTCCCCATTCTCCATTCGTTCCCCGCCCTTTAATGAATTCCGTTTTTTACTCGAGAGTGCACTCATTCTAAACGGTCGGCTATCGCAGCACGATTACATGTCAGCTTCGACTAAAGCAAATCAGCGGTAAACACCCCGCGTAAGTGCACAACCGGACAACCTAGTTATCGTTCACTTTATCCCACGACATAGGAAAGTGGACAGACAATGGTTAGAAACGACGGTTTATTGAGTATTTGCAAATGAGAAATCGGTACGAAAAATACAGGCGGGGATGCAGTTCTCCAATGGATATTAAAGGGCTTCCACTGGTTATGGGCGGTTCCTGTAAAAAAAAAGAACTGTGGTAAAACATGGGAAATGCTCTTGTCATTGAACTAATCAATAATGTCAATAGTAGGAGAAATGCAATTCCTAGGTGGCGTATCATAAGGAGGCTTCCTTCGGTGCAGGCCAGACGCGGGTCCGGCGTTCCGAGTAGTGAATTCGTCTGCCCGTCCTCAGGCACTGGAAATGCACGCACATAGTTCTATGTACGTGACCCTAATTTACCTCAGGGCTGATGCAGAGAAGCCCGGATGTCCTTTGCCAAATTCATTTATTTGCCCGTATTCGGTTTTACGAGCCAATTTGACAAGAGGCAGCGACGGCGCGAAGTAATTAGGGACGCTAATTATCTACGCAGTCAACCAGGGCGGGAGCGACACTGATCACAGTAAAATGCGCGTCCGACGCAGACCCCAAACCGGTCAACGAGGGCCGGGTAAGATGAGCTAGGTCTCACTTTTCGAACTCAAGAGATAGGTAGGCGGATTTACTACTTCTGCGAACGTCAGACCTCAAGCAGACATCATCGAGTTAATTAACAATGTACTTTGCAATAGTTATTACAATATCATAATTACTATTGCAAAGTACACTGTTAATTCATACATACTAGTATGTATACATACTTCCGAAATACATACTATCATTATAGTTATTGAAAAGAGGGAAATAACATAAAGTGTGTTAATAGCAGTCTTTTTCAGTTAACTTACGTGTGCTTCGGAGGCGAGAGTTGCGGGCATGCGAGGTCATCAGTGGGGACTCCTTGAAACTGAACGCATTTAGGCAGTAATTCAAAGCAAAATGTCGTACTGTGTAAATATTGCGCCTGCGTCTCGATCGTCCTCCATAACGGTCCTTCGACCCATGGAATCAATTAATGGCCGTAAGTCGAAGTACCTCCCTGTTGCAGTTGCTAAAACGGGGTTTTCGGCCGATGGCATCTGTATGTGCCAATAAGCAAAAAGTAGACCTACCGTTGACGATGCTAAATAACGGGCAGGCAAGGAACGACCGCTTCTCCTTGGATCCGCCCCTCCAGCAGAAGGTGTAACAAAGCGGCGGACCAATGAGAGCAGTCAGAAGATTTCTGACAAAGTCTTTTTCACTCCGCCCTCCCACCACGGCCAGCTGTCTGATCTGAAAACAGTCAAACAAATATACACATACCGCCTTGTCTGCCAATTCCGCCTCAGTAGTTAGCAGACGAACGAAGTCTTCGTAGGCTTCGGCTGTGCACAGTGGCAAATGCAGACGAGAGGGCCCGACATCGGCAGCAGTGGCACCCCTCTCTAATGCACTGACAGCATCAGTCATTGTTGCCTGCAGTTGCCGCACACTGTTGTTGAGGGCGACCATTTGCTCGGCCAGGAAATCGACTTTGTTTCTAATAGATTGTCAATGAGATTGTCAACAGTCTTACTCGAGGGACGCTAACCGAAAGTTTACGTCATTCGTGTCACTCTGCGCCTGATGGCTACATGCAGGTTCGGTAGCAGGCACTGGCGCAGGTGCCGGCATTTCCCTAGACAGCCTACGGTAATAATTAATAAAAGGCAGTTACCGATATGAAGTCGATGGCGTAGGGTGACTCGACTGAGAGAAGAGATGGGGCATCTGTTCGTCCATTCTTGGCGTACGAATAATTAACGATAATTATGCTTACTGTAATATTCGTGGTGGTGTTGGCCAACCAAGTAGCTGTCTCGGACGATAAAGTGGTTCGTCATCGTCGTCTGAATCCGACGTCTGCCTGCGGACATACCTGCAAAGAAATATTAACAGTATGGGACATGTACTTTCTCCTCATCCCTCTGCCTAATTTACCGGCTCAGAGCTAGAAAGATTGTCCGACAGCTCTGCTTTCCGGACCAGCTGTCTGGCCTTCAGCAGTGTCAGGTTACTTTTTAGTAGCCGAACAGCGTACACCTTGGTGCCGTCTGGTGGCCGCCTGTTATTATTCAGCAGGACGGCCCGCTCTTTGTGGTTCTTAGGCCACATAACGCTGCCCACGTCGTAAAGCCAGGCTGCAGCCACCACGGCCACAGTCTTGTCATTTACGAATTCGACAACCGAATACATCTACAGGGAAATTTATATGAAATGAACAATGTAAACAAGAGTCCCCGCGCACGCACATGTGCAGTAACGGAATTAGAAAAAAACGACCGTCAATATCAAAGGGAACATATTTACAAATGATGTCTGAGAGGGCAGCAGTTGAAGGAATGTCTGGCAAACGGGAGGCTTTAAACATATACAAGGAGGATGAGGGAAGGGATGTTGTAAAAAGGTCCTCACAGTCAAGAAACGGGCGGTAAGTTATGCCGGTATCCGACACTGATGTCAGCAGGCACGGTCTATTTCCGATAAGTACCACATTATCGGGCTGTTTATTTGACAAAACAAAGTCTCTATGGAAAATTGCGGTGGATCCGCGAGGCAGTTTAAATGCCCGTGCTACTCCCTCGTCGTCGTCTAACAGCATTGGGCATGTTGGTAACTCAGGCAAGCGTCTTTCAGAAAAGCGCTTGAAAACCTGCGGGGCTACGTTAGTAGGCCTTTTATACTGCTGCGGACACTTTGTAAAAAGGACTCGAAAGGAAATGCCGAGAAATTATCCAACACTCCAAACCGGGACACATCGTCATACAGGTGAAGCAGACAATGGACATTGTAAATAATATCGGATGGACTATACAAGGTGGGGAAATTAACAACAAAGCGATTTAACAGACGTCGGCCGTATTCTCCGCAAGATATATGCAATATGGGATGGCGAAATATATGCACTGCGAGGGAAAACTGTAAAAAGTGTTGGTACCGGGCTTCGCTTAAGGCGGAGGACAAAACGACGGGGTCTATGTACAGTAGGAATTGCCTGTATTCGGCAGCCTTCCAAAACTCTAGACAATCGAGTGTTCTGCATTTACGCGAAAACTCGGCCGGCAAATTTTGGCTGCACATCTTAATAGACTCATTCAATGAGTCAGAGTGCCTGCTGCAGCCCAGACGCCAAATATGCAGTAACTTCTGCATGACGCCCAGGCAAACCAGGTGCATATAGTCGAGTGGGAAGGAGGTCACCATATCGACGGGCAAATCCTCGAACGGAGACCTGCCCTTGTGGTGCGGTTCCTGTCTTCGCAACCTGAATGACCTGTCGTCACGCAGACGCCCACTGCATACTGGAAACGTCATGCGGTTTGCAATACGTTTGCCCATATGGGAACACCTGCAGTGGTTATAGTTAAAGGTACGAAACAACATACCTGTCTCAGCCGTAATAGCCATTGTGAGCTTTAACTTGCCGCACAAAATATCGGGCAGGGGTGTCGCAGATAACATTGTCTAAGATCACCTTTACGCTATTTTGCGTATGTGGAATGCGCAGACCACTGGCCAGGAGGTCTTTCAGCTCGCCAACACAGTCACCCAGGAAGTCATCCAACGGATCGGGTTTGCCGGGACCGGAGAACACTCCAACAATGAAGGGCTGACCAACAACTGGATGGCGAACACGGGCAAGAATCGGCCAGAGGCCCTGACTAGACCCCTTGAATATTTTCATTCCGTCGATATGCAGTTGGATGCGCATTTCAGGAACGCTTGTTTCGGGCAGACTGTGCAGTTGATCCAGCAGATCACGTTCAAGACCTAAATGAACATAGTTGCCTTTGTTCAGGGGCTTGCTAATGCAGGTCCGAGGCGTTTGCAATAGCGTCCTTGGGTCTTTAGGCACTTCTGGGTGGTAGGGCCGCAGCATCCGAAACAACTTCTTTGTTGTGGATAGTGGCATTTGAGCCTCCAAGCAGAATTCCCGTAAATCCGCCAGAAAGCATTTGCCTGCGACCGCGTCCTCGCTTGTGTCTACTGGCTCTAAATTTGCTATTGAGTAACATAGTAAGATGACTACCAATGCAAACTTCTGGGACTAGTTCGGGCATTTCTATTTCCGGTGGTTGATCTACGACCGAGGACGTAGAGGGAACGGAGGGATCAGCCACCCGCGCATAATATGCCTTCTTCTCAAGCGCAATCCGCTTGTAAATTGTGCTCCGATGGAAGCCATAATACTTGCGCTTCATGATTGCTTTCATTGATGGGTATAAAACAAGTTAAAAAAAATTGAACTGTACTTGAAACGCTCACTGTGAGATTAAAATTGTAATTAAGTTAGTAAACCTACTTGCATAGCATAAAAGAGATTAGTAATTGCGTAAGTAAGACCATAAAGACGCGATAGACATGAAATCGACGCGGGAAAACGTACCACCTTGTCGCGAGCGTCCGGTCGAGCAGTAGAAAAATGGCGTCCAAGTGGCCCACTTAAACAAAAGCGTCCTAATCGGCTTATCCAGGCGAATTATAATTCCCCAAGAAGTGCAGACTCAGGGCACTTTCTGGGTGAATTAACGTATATTTAGGCAAATGAGCAACATTAAAACACAGAATATTTTGTCTAAGCGGCTGAAACGACTCTTGAAATTTCTCAAAATATGGCGCGGCCATGGCCGCGTCCAGCCACGCTTTGCCACACCCACAAGGAGGGGTCATGTGTTGGCAGGGGTGCGTACCAGAAGAAGAAATCAAAAGGCCTCATGGTGACTGCTACGTCGGGGGTGGACTAGATGTTCTAAAGTAGTGAGCGGGTTAGAAGTCCGATTATACTAAAGCTCAAATTGTAAAAACTTTCTTTGTAAAAAATGTTGGATGGATTCTGCTTTATTCCGCGCAGCAGCACTCAAGAGGCTAAATAACAACGAACAGTATTCCAGGCCAGGTCTAACGTACATGTTATAAAGGCACATTCAAATATCGTTGATTTTAAAGTTTCGGAGTATAAACTTGGTCGTTCTACGTACATTCGAGACTATCAGGGCGCAGAGCTCCGAAAGATTAAGACTCTTGGAGTATGACACATCCAGATCCTAAATAACATTTATGCGGTGACCGTCAATACTTAGTTGCGGTTGGTGGTCATCGCCAGCCACTATGACTGAACATTTGAGTCAAGAAAGAGAAAGGTGTCATGTGCGGCACCAGTGGCCAAAGTTCCGTTGCTTGCTCTTTAGGTGTTCGAACATCATATCTTGATCTGCCGGCTTATATCTATATGCAACGTTTAGATTATCGGCATACCTGAAGGGCTTACCATTCTGAAACATCGTTGACAAAGAAGCAAAACAGTAGCGGACCGAGTAAATTACCTTAAATGATGCCACTCCTCACGCATGCGGTGTTGGAGATAGCGTTGGAACACTTAACCCGTTGTGTGCGAGCGCCCAGGTAATAAGATATAAAACTCAGGAGTTTACAAGCAGTTGCGAAAGGGGTACGTTTCAAGAGGAGAAGAGCGTGCTCAACAACATCAAATGCTTTAGTGAAGTCGAAGTAGACTACGTAAAGCGCAAAACCATTGTTCCTAGATTGGAGAAAATGATCAAAGAAAGAGAGCTAGCAGGTGTCACAAGAGCGAGCTTTGAGGAATCCATGCTATGCAGCGCTCAGTAGGTTATTCTCTGTTAAGTGACACATCATCTTATCTTTGATCAATGTCTTTGGGATTTTCGAAACTGACAGGGGTGTTTATTGGTCGAAAGTCGTCAGATAGGTCGGTATAGGTCAGTATATTTCAAGGGTAACAGGCATTGCCTTTGAAAACCCTATTGAAAACCGTAAATGCAAAATCTAACTCTAAATAAACATGGTACTAAAATATTGTCAGTATATTTTTGTTTGAAAATGCAGAACCAAAACTCGAGATCATCCAGTTGTAGATGATAACGATCAAATGAAATGACAATCATCGGCATTAGCAGTTGGTCTATGGAAGGCGTCGGTTTCGCACCACAGAGCTGTTCTGTTCAGACAAGCGGTGTTGTCCAAGCCAATATACATTTTGTCTTTTCTTGAACGTGTCCGCCGTATCTGCCATTATCACGTCCTCGGGAAGCCTGTTCCAGGCACCGACGACTCGCTATGAAACGCAGTATCCCGGTTCCTTAAGATCCGATTCGCCTCTATGAGATCTCCTCGAATCTGTCTGTACTCAAGAGGAAAGAGTTTAAGTTCTCTAAGTCGGCAGTTGTAAGGTAAAGTCCTGAGGCGTTTCACAATTTTTGCGCCCTCCTCTAAACTCTTTATAGCAACTTATAGTCTTTAAGCCACGGGAGCCACGTTTGGATTCTCTATTCCAGATGCGAACGAATGAACGTTCGTATACTTTTCCAAATAACTCTTTGTCTATGTCTACGAAAGTTCGTTTAATGACAAGGAGAACAGTGGTTGCTCTTTTGGCCGCCCTAACGCATTGAGAGGAAGGCTTAAGGGTCGACAATATGTTGATCCCAAGATCTTTTTGTCAGGTTACATTTTAAAGGCACCTTCCACCAAGCAAGTAATGGTGATCCTCTCCGTCAGCTCTTCCAGTCGTTTTGAGTCGCAGCGCGACGCACTTCAAGGTCACTGTCGAGACGCTGGTTTTAAACTTGGAGATAAGTGGAGGATATCATTTTAAGTGGTTTTTCTGCGAGACCTAACGATTTTAGCCCCTGTTTTTGGTTTAATTGCCTTAAATACAGGCCTAATCACTCAGAACAGCCTGTTGAAATCTCCTTTGATTTCTGCTAGTCTATGTCTGTTGTTCACCAGTCGCACTCTGCAATTCTCATTTTGTGCATTCGATTTCTCTCTAACTGTTGTAATTTATTTGAACATCGTAAGCCCCTAGCTGAAATTCAGTCAACATGTCTGCCAGAAGTTTTCTTAACCACAACTTGCCTCGAGACAAGATGAGAGCAAAAGTCACTGGTCGGCGTAAGCTCTCGGCCTCTGTAAGTAAGCACGGCCTAACTAAACCTAAGTCAAAGGGCTTACTTAAATCTAAGTCAGATGTTATTACTAGTCAGTCGTCACCCGTTGTAATTGGTCAGCAGCTTAATATGTATGCATTTGACGATTGCAATGACTTTATGCTAAAGTTTGGCACTTTGATATCAATTCTTGGAAATTTATTCGACAGGAACATCTCCGATATTCCTTCTGAAGAATGTAGGCGTCTCGACCCACTTGTTCATCTGGTCGCCATTGAATCTAGTGATAGACAAAAGCGTTCTTACAACTTTCTTTTAAAAAAATGTTCCTCTATCTGCCCGGCCAATTGCTGTTGCGGCCAATTTCCTGTATTTCTGTGGGTTCAACTACAAAATAGCCGATGCCAAACGCTTGTCCTCCCGTAGCAAAATCCACTCGTCTAACTCAAATTATTTTAATCAATCGAGGTTGACACAATCTTTGCCCATGGAGATCGTGTCAATGCGTGCCTGGAAAATGCCCAATTTTTCCTGTCATGATCTTACTCCTATGGAGCGTAGAATCGGGTCTCTCTTTTCACATAAGCCCACTGCTTCTCAGTCTAATGCTCCCCAACTCGGTCATAATACAAGTGGCCGTGAGGATTCAGCTTGTCCTACTCCTGCCACATCTGACTCCCTCTCTCCCCTTACTCCTACATCTCCATCTCACTCAAGCCACTTGACGCATTTGCCTGTCCCTGAAATTGCAGCAGCAGCAGCAGCAGCAGCAGCAGCAGCAGCAGCAGCAGCAGCAGCAGCAGCAGCAGCAGCAGCAGCAGCAGCAGCAGCAGCAGCAGCAGCAGCAGCAGCAGCAGCAGCAGCAGCAGCAGCAGCAGCAGCAGCCCCATTTGTCGTTTCTTATCTTCCGGGTAGCCCCGCTGGGACACATGAAAATCCGTCAACATCAGCTAGACCGATAACTTCTCCTGTCCAACTGGGTGCTGCAAGCTCTCCAGTTAAGTCACCCGTGGCTTGGCGTCAGAACGGTGAGACTCCAAACCTGAATCAGACTCAGACCCAAAAGAAAGGTAGTACAGTTCCATTTATGGGTACGCCGCCTTCTCTTAGATCTACCAAGTCTGTCCAGCCCAGCACGTTTACAAACCCCGCAGCTCCAATTATATCCCCCTATAGTTCTCTGTCCGGCGTACCGGTTACTTATCAAAGCCCTACAATATATATAGCAATTTATTCATACATGAATTGCCCTAAGTCACTTACGCCCAACCTAGTTCAGGCTTCCCACCACTTAAGGCCAATTGCTCTCAGGTACGTCAACCTACCTCCTTTGACTTCAAACCTAGACATGGTTTCCCACCTTCTTATTATTACAGTTGCCTACCCTACCCCACTAGCCTCTACTTTCCTTCTAGGCTCCCTCCTCCTCCCTCTCCTCCACTATTTAACTACCAGCAAGTCTATCCATGTTCTAACTCCCCTAGCATTCCAATGTTCGAAAACTATATCCCCACATCAATTAAGTCTCATACTCATCCTTCTCTTGTTGACTCCCCGCACGTCAATAAGTCTAGACAAACTGGTACTTATTCTTCTAGTGTCATTAATTCAGAGCTTACATATCCGCCTCCAAATTTTTTTAAAATACCGTCGAAAATGGCATTGCAGTTCGAAACACATTAGATATTATATTATTGAATGCCAGGTCTGTTATAAACAAGATGGCCCAAATCAGAGCCATTGCTCTCGAAATGTCGCCTGATATTATATGTGTAACAGAATCCTGGACCCTTTCTCTAATTCCCTACTCTACCCGTCTCGGGAGAGGGAGGGAGGGAGAGGAAATGCGCTTTATTTTGAAATCGTAAGTTCAAAATTTTCAGCAAAAAATTGGCTCCATTCACTGTGGGTAGTAAATAAGTTAAGAGATTATTCAACAGTCAAAGAAACGATTATTATGGGGATAGTTCAAGTCTGAGCTTCTGTATTTCTGTCTCTTCGCACGTAAGATAGCGCGCTAGGAATGGCAATACAGAGGCTCGATAAGCCGATGTGCGACAGGGTATAAGACGGAAGTTGCGGCGCATCGGGCGGGAAGACTTGGCAGCCATAAGATCGGAATGTAGGGGATGGGCAACGTCATCTAGAATTCGACCAGCAAATCGCTTGACCGCATTGAAGTGTCGTTGTAAGATTGTGTCAACTAAAAAAATATGAGAAACGCCAGCAGCAGAAGAGAGCATGCGAAGGATTCGTTTCAAAATTAAAAGATCCTTTTTTAACAGAGCAGGAAAAACGACAGGAGAACAGTATAGGATAAGAGGAAGAATGCAGGCATCAATGAATCGCCAGACTAAGGGTTGAGGTGTGTAGTAGGAACGCAAACGACGAATGTAGTAAAGGAGTTTACGAACTTTAATAAATATGGACTCAATATGGAGGGAAAAAGAAAGATTTGAGGACAAAGTAACGCCGAGATACCTGAAAGAGGATACCTCATTAGGAAGAATGTCAGAGGAATCAGGGTTAGGAGAGGGCCGCAGTCGAAAAATACACTGAACGGATTTTTGGTTGTTAATAAGAAGACCATTTTCCTCCGACCACGCTAGGACATGGTTTAGGCCATCCTTTAGAGACCGGAGGTGTGTCTGACTTTTGAGAGGGTGTCCAACAACCACATCGTCAGCATACTTGATCAGAAGACAGTCATTAGGGGACCTGAGATCATTAGTATGGAGGGAGAAAAGGTGAGGGGATAGAATGGAACCTTGAAGAACACCGCAGTCATTGGGAAGGGTCGAAGATTTTCGCTTGCCAGATTGGACAAATTGGGTGCGGAAGCTAAAATAATCGCTCAGCCAAGAGACGACCAAACCTGGAGAGCCACATGCGGAGGTTTTGGAAAGGAGAAGAGGACGCGGGACGGTATTGAAGGCGGAGGAGTAATCAAGAAAAGCGCACGCATACTCGCGGCAACCCTTGTCTAATGCTTTTACAGCAGAGTGGACCACAAGAGCGACAGCATCTAAAGTACTCCGTTTAGCTTTGTATGCAAATTGTAAGGGGTCGGAAAAACTGGAAGAAAAAGGCTTTATGATATCTAGGGCAACTCTTTCAGCAAGCTTTAGTATTGCAGAGGAGTAGGCTATTGGGCGAAAAGATTTTGGACCAAAGTTAGCAGGCTTTTTAGGGATGGGAGTGATTCTCACTGTACGCCAGGCGTCGGGAATCTTGGACTCCATGAAAGACATATTGATTAGGTGCGTTAAAATAGGGGCTATCTGAGAACTGCAAGATTTAAGAAGAAAAGGCGAGACACCATCCGGTCCGGCAGCTGTTGATCCACGGACCTTTTTAAGGTGTTTCTCTACTGTTGCCAAAGACACGGGTTGGAATGCACTCGGTGATAGGGGAATGTCTTCTTAGGGAAGATGGGAGTCATTGTGATTAAATATAAAATTTTTATTTAGGGAGTCTAAATCTGCATCCACATGCACCAGCGTGTTGCGATGACCAGTGAGACGCTTAAGATTTTTCGAAATCTCAGCTGAGGAAGGGGGGAAAGGGGGGGCGTAAGAAGAGGAAAAAAGTTGGCTGACAAACAGGCTATTTAGCCTGTCAATCTCTGTTTTTATTAAGACGGTAACGTCCTTAAGGTTATCACGAAAGCCTAGCTTGTAAAGGAGTTCTTTTTTACGTCTTAACGATTTCAGATAGGAGGAAGAAATTCTATCCGGTCGTACCATAACAGTATCAAAAGGGCAGCAAATATCGAAAATTTCATTTAAAAACGCTGTCAGGTTGGAAGAACAGGATTCAACATTAGAATTTTCAAGGAAAGTGGGGATAGTAAGAGAAATGCAAGTCTGAAGCATGAGAATGTTTTGGGCGGACGTGTTGCGAACCTTAACCTTTCTCTCAGGCTTGGCAAGCAGTGCACGTTTTGAAGTGGAATGGATTTTTGGAAGGCACAATAAAGTGGAATGGTCAGAACCTGACAATGGAGCCCTGTTTTTTACGCAAAAAAGCTTGCTATGGTTAGTCAGAATATGATCAAGAGGGGCATTTGCGCGAGTATTAAAGGAGACAAGATCATCGAGGCCTACAAGTGTAAGGGGACGTAAATTCACGCGATTTAAATCACCGCATAAGAGAGTAAGATAGTCGCAGGATAATAAAGCAAGTTTTTGTGAGAGGAAGTCGAAAAAACGGGTTAATGCGCCTTCACAGGAAGAGGGGGGAATGTAAATACTAACAAATATGATGCCTTTAAAATTACTTAACAAACGGGGCTTACATAAAACAGCGATTACATCAATTAAATCATCAGAGTAAGAAAAAAGGGACTTACAGTCTCTGCACCAATTTTGATTAACGAAAATGGCAACGCCTCCACCTCTGCCACAAGATAAAGATTTTCTATCTGTTCGAAAGCAGTAGAAGGATGGGGGAGTAATAAGCTGAGAATCAATGTCACTATTAAGCCACGTCTCTTGAAGGTAAACAACTTCAGTTTTGCTGTGTTCTTTTTTCGACAAAAGTAGCTCCAAATCATGGGTTTTGTTGAAAATAGAACGACAGTTTTTCGACAAGAAGGCAGGAATTGACAATTTGTGATTCGGCTGACGTTTGAATGCGAATTGCCAGCCACAACGGTGTTTTCTCCGATGCATAGGCCGTTGTTGACGAATATTTGATAAAGTCAACACAGAACGATCACAAATACGACATATTGGTTGTAAAGTACAACAGTTTGCATCATGGTCGTTCGTAAGTGAAATTGAAAATTTAATTGCGTTCAAAAGGGTGCTAGCGTACTGTAGAGACGACCTCATAATCTTAGCTCAGACAAACAAAGGATGCAAAACAATTCAATATATCGATAAGAAAAGGCACAATAATGTACAATTAGTAAAAATCCACACGTGAATAGAGAGCTACAAAAATGGCGGCTCAAATTCAAAAGCCCGCCTCATAGATGACTTCGATTTTTACCGTCAAGACCGCACAACTAGGCGTGGGGATGGTTGTCTTCTTTATCTTAAATCCTGCCTAAAGCACTCTCCCTATTACTTGGATGTTTCCTCATTCACGGGAAACTTCTGCTTTGACTGTATCTACAATCCCCAAATTCTTTAGCCAGTGATGATTCTCAACTCTGTGAAATCTTTAAATTAATTTCGGAAGCTGCTTTCGATGTTAAAATAATCACTGGGGATTTTAACCTTCCTGAAATAAACTGGGTTTCCAATAGCTGTCCACCCAATTTCCAGCCCTTTCAAGATATTGTAAATTTTTCTAATTGGTCCCAACTGGTGCGCTCTCCAACAAGAGATAATCACATTTTAGATCTAATCTTTACCAATGACATTGCTCCTCTTTCTGATGCTTTAAAAAAGGACCTCATTGACAGTGACCACGTATTAATTCATTATTGCTTACCGCTTGCCTTTTCAAAAAAGACCAGCGTCCCTCGGACTTACATGAACTACGACTTCGTAGATAACGGCTTAATAAATAACTATACTAGATCTTTGGATTGGTGTGGCTTCCTCTCCTGCAGTGATGCAAGCATTCTTCGTGATGTCGTGTTAAATGTTTCCAGGGACATTCTAGAGTTTTCGCCGCGCAGATATCTGAAGCCTAATTCTTCAGATTCTCTCGTTACATACTTTCTTCACAACAGACTAAAAAGTTGAGATGGCAGCTGCGTGACCCATCCACTAGTTCCTTATCAGTTCATCTTAGAATCTCAGCGATATTTGAGATGGCCTCAAGGATGCGCCGAACGCGCGACAGGCAAAGAGAATCAATTGCTCTCAATGGTCCGAACCCTGGCAACTCCGTTGCTAACATCTTCCGTCATCGGTCTTCCTCTAAGCGTAGTCACGAACTTCCACCCCTGCTAAATGGTAACAAAGTCTTTCTTACCGATGAAACTGACAAAGCGGTGTTGTTTAGT